ATGTAAGTATTTCGATGTCTTTCCAGCGGGCTATATAATCGGAGTTGCACCAGTAAATGAGAGGACGTAGTTGTGCTGCATGATAATATTCCTTATAGTTTGGAAGTGCCAGTCCCCCTCTTTCTTTAGGCAATTGCAGTGTGGTATATCTTATCCTAGGTTTTGTACCCACCCCATATGAATCTTGATATAAGCTTATCCCAGCTTTGGAACTGAACCTGCGGTATATTTATCGGCAAAGATTGAAATAAATACAAGAAGCGTGGTAGAATATTAATTTTCACTCTATTTATCCTGTCAATAAAACTCATCGGGTAAGTTGACAATTTTTCGAAATCTTTCCTTATATCTTTGTCAATACATTCATAGTTGTTTTGGTACAGCTTTGCTACATGTTTGGTTATGTTTATTTCTAAGTATTTAATTGATTTAGCTTCCCAGTTTATATTCAATTCCTTTAGTTTTTTATTTGGAGCGCAGTTAAACATAAGGATTTGAGTTTTAGATATGTTTAATTTGTATCCTGAATATTCACCAAATTGTTCCTCCAGTAATATGCATTAGCTTTATAAAGGAGCTTACTGGATCTTTCAGTATGATCATGACGTCGTCTGCGAAAAGGCTAATAACATGTTTTTGTCGACTAATGTCTATTCCGGCTATTGCACTTTCCTGTCTGATCATTTGGGGTAATGGTTCTATATATAGAGCAAACAGGGTAGGGCTGAGACAGCAGCCCTGTTCCTCTTTCCAATGTAAATCTGTCTGTTAGTGAGCCATTCACTTTAACTCGAGCTGTTGGTTTGTTATAAATAGACTTGATGCATTTCATTGTTTTATTACTGAATCCAAATGTCTCTAATGTTAGATATAAAAATTCCCAATTGACCCTGTCAAATGCTTGTTCTGCATCGAGACTAATCAGTGCTGCTGGTATTTAATTTGGTTGTATTCTATGTATGATAGGACTGTGCAATTAATCGTATTTTAATCTCGAAAAAAACGATTATTTTGCTGCATTCCCTTTCGCAATGATGCTCTCAATTTGTCTTGCGTTAAACATCCTGCCTGCGCATGCGCTGACGCCCCTCCCTAAAAGCCCTCTCAGCCAGGTTGTGTTGTGACTTGCAGTCTGTTTAATAAATCCATATAAACACGTTACAAGGGAAGCTTTAGTTCACTGTTCAAGCGACCATGCTGCTCAGCTGTCCGGCGGAAGTCCGACTAGCAGTACTTCCAGGGTTCTTACGGTCATTAAAAACCTGGGAAAAGTCATGGAAATTCAAAATGCTGATTCCAGGTCCTGGAAAAGTTATGGAAAACAATATTTTTCCCAAAGTTTTGGAAAAGTCATGGAAATGTAACCAAAGTTGCATCAAATATAATTTATATTTTATCTAATTACCGAAATAGTAACAATATAATGACAATAAATACTGTATAGTAATGAAACATAAAATGACATTTAACTGTCGAGGTATTTTGCTGGTGAGAGATTTGAGTTGCTTTAGCGTGTGGAAGCTAGTAAGCCAACTATTTGATTTGTTTTAGATAGGCTCAACATGTTTCATATGCAGACCTTATTTTCCTGTTCCATGTTAAAATAAACAATTTTCAGAGAAAAAAAACGCTGAGAAAGAGTAATTGTTTTGGTCATGGAAAATTAGGTAAAGGTCATGGAGAAGTCATGGAAAATCATTGAAATCATTGGTGAAAAAGTGTATGAACCCTGTACTTCTTAAGCCTAAAAGTTAACACATATACAGTATGTATGTCTAATTAATATGCATTTTTGGTAGGTGTTTATTAACTCTGGAAGCAGGCTAGCTGTTTCCTGTTTCCAGTCTTATTGCTAGCTAAGCTATTTGCCTTGCGGGCAATGAATCCATGTTCACTTAACATAAATAAATCAAGGGTCTTACGCTGGCTGTACTAAACAATGCCATCCAATCTCACCTAGATAGAGGTATTCATTATTCTCCAATTTTTTTCCTGGATGGATGTTCTCATGCTCAGCAGCTCTGTAGTACTTGAGAGTCTTTGGTGTTCACATGCATCTCAAATTCAATCCTGTTAATATCCCACCAGGGTATTCTGGGCTCAGGCTTTGCCCTGAAGGTCCAGGAGCAGCACAGACAGAAGCACTTTGAGAAGAGAAGAAACCCCGCCGCCTACCTTATCCAGGTACGCCACACACACATATCTGTTTCAGGGCTGGATTATAACGACATTTTAATCATAACATTAACAGCTTATCTAAATCATACACAATGTCTGTCAAATATAAAATGTTTTTAAATGATGTAATTTTTTCCAGTTTCTATTTTTCCTCTGTGAATAAAAAGCACTTGTAGGTGCACTTTGTATGCCCAGAAACACCAACCGTTTGGGAAACGCATTCTTGCTACGCCCCTCGTGTCTTTTCACACATGTCCTTCTTTACACACACATTTCATTGATTCAGACCTTATATCTCCCTGTGCCCTTCCTCGTCTGCTCCCTCACCCACTTTCCTCCCACATGCCTCTCCATTTTCTCCTTGTTTTATCTCCTCCTCTTCATCCTGTCCGTCCCCATGTTGTACCAGGCTGTGTGGCGTTATTACTCCACCAACAGGCTCTACCTTGACGCCACTTGGCAGCACTATGAGAGCCTCCTGCCTTCCCACAGGCATGTATCCATGTATCCATGCCTGATCTCCCCCCGGCGAAAGACGTGTGGAAAACATGTTTTTTTGATTATCACTAATCAGCTTTTTCATTTGTTGTCTTCCCTCCTCATCCTCTTCTCCCTCTCCCTTCTGACTCTGCTGTGTTTTTGTTCTAATCATCTCATTTATTCCATTTATCTCCTTGTACTTTTTTCTCCCTCTTGGTTGTGTGTATTCTGCATGCAGTGTGTTTGGCGTAGTTATTCGGCTGATGAGAACTCGGTTTCCATTGCTACGTGGAAGCCTCACTTGAAGGCGTTGCACACCTGCAGCCCAACGAAGTAGGTACACCTGTGGCAGCTGGTTTCCTACGCTTCAAATCTGTACAATTTTAGTTATATTCTGAGGCTTTCCACTCCATATTATCTATATATTGTATCAATGATGCACCCTTTCTTGTATGAATGCATTGATTTTCTCAATTTCCTTTTCTAATGTGATATTGGTTGACAGCCACCAAAAAGTATCCTGGCTCCGATTGCTTGAATAAAAAAGCTGGAAAAAAAAAAGCGCGGACTTTCTAGATAAAATAATATGATATCAATTATTTTACTGCCATAAAAAAAATGAAGCTTTTCAGACTCCCTGTATTAGACCTTAGTCAGTTGAGTGCCCAATGGGACTTTAATGGGTGTCACTTTAAAGGTCTGAGGCAGCAATTTCAGCATTATCTCTCGGTGTAGGACGGCAATCGTGGCCTTGATGAGCCGTAAAGCTTTTTTGAATCTGCAGCACTTCAGTAGCTTTAAATTGTACACCCACCTACCACTGGTGAGTAATTTTGAGCAATTTAGAGATGCAGTGCTGGTTTTCATTGTGGTAGCAAACGTATCAAAGATACAGTGGGGTTTACTATAGACAGGTTTCCCTAAAGATAAAACATGCTATTTGCACTCAGCAGGGGGGGAGGAAAGGGAATTCCTTCTGTTGCCACAGGTTAAGAGCAGAGCACTTTTCCCTACATTTTGCCATTTAATTATACTACACACTAGATGGCAGAATTGTTAAGAGTTTCTGTTAAAATGTCATTTATAACCACCTTAATAGAAATCCATGGCTCTGACCAGATTGCTAAAGGTTAGCTAATGCTCATCTAACTGTATGTATCTAACTCTGATTACAAATACACTACTTAACGTTAATAAGCTGCAAGTGCTTCTTTAGTTTGTCTGGAGACTCTGCATCAACCCGCATGTCTTTTTAGTGAGCCTGCTGTCTGCTAAGGTCTATTTCCCACTGAATGCTTGTTATCGATTGATGTGTTGCTACCCTACAATCTTGTAGCTGCTGACAAAGCCTTGAATGCAAAAGTCTTTCTATCATAGCCACCATACCACTGTTTATGCAGGTTTTAGCTCTTCACGCAAACTTACATTGTTTGCCCAACATCTTTGAATGTAGGCTATAACTTACTTTCTGACATACAGTTCCAGGCATTCTTTGATTTATATCAATGTTTGTAGGCTATGGTATACCAATCAATGACATGTCTTGTCAACGCAGCAGACTCTTGAAACATCCTGAGTTGTGTAATCCATTGCAGTGAACATCAAGTCATAACCATATCTCGAGGCTGGTGGGTAACGGGTGTTTAATGGCAAGCTTTTCTTCCAAAGACAGACTTTGTCATTTGTTCATGCTGACCACTTTTACCGACCCTTTTTTTTTAAAACACTGACCTTAGGCATCCTTTAGCTAATTATGAAAATAAAACCTGGCAAACATGTGTGACTTTCATTGTTAAAAACAATGGGCATCCGGATTGTTATTTTCCCACTGCCTCTTGAAACTATACCATAATATGATATATGTCCCACTTAACTTGAACTTTAGAATAATACAATATTTAATCCAGAATTATATAAATGTTTTTAAAGTTTCAGTAGCAGTAGCAGTAAAACCACACTTTCTATTGGCAGCAGGTCTGCCCAAATGCCCCAAATGTAACCTCTACTCATAGAAATACTTTCAACAAACTAATACATACTGGATGTTCACTGCTACATTACCCGATTACGTTTCAAGTGTCTGCAACTAGATTTTGAAAGCAAAAAGAGAAAATGCATTCAAATTTCTAAAACAAAGCTTTGTGATGCGTAATAAATGGGTTAAAACATGCAAAACCACTGGTTCTTTAAGCACAATGGGCAATTATGTATTATGAAAAGATGATTTCTGACTTATTGTTTTTTTCCTTGTCTGTCAACTCCAGGAAGGAGCAGGGAGAGTCCAACACAAGGTTTGTACTTGCTGTTCCACTGAATGTTCACTGTCTTCCGTAATGATAGTTAGGGAGAGGTGTCACACTATGAACTCTGAAAAAGCTAAGTGCTTTTTGGTCAGTTCCTTAGTTTTGGGGGGTTTCTTTTTCAATTATTTTTCACTCAAAGGTCTTGTACAGCTGCCAGTGTACACATACAAAGGTTTACAAAGTCCTTTTTTAGAAAATCATGTTTATATACCTTAAACCTGCATAAATGTATTTGTGTGACCAGTAGGGGGCAGTGCAACAGCCAGTAAACACAACACTGACATATTATCACTTTCTAAAGTGAGGGTTAACATGCTAGCAAAGCTTCTAACACTCTGAGAGACTCTAGTTCTCCTTTCAAAGAAACAAACATACATTAACATAAAAAGGCTCTCAAATAGAAGACATCAAACTGTTATACAAACTTCTATTTTTCTCTATCTTTTAAACATCATATTTCCTCATTATGCTCTGAGAAATTATATGCATTCTTCAAATTGACACATTTTCCAATGATATCCTGCTCGTAGTCTTTTAGCCAATACATTCTTTAAATCCACAAGAGGCGACAGCATGCAGAGTAGTGAGGGCTGACAAATGTTGTGTTGTAGTTATGAAACGCTGAGTATTAAGCGTCACCTGTACAGTATAGGTAAATATAAATCATAGCAACCAGTTGTGATGTTTCCCCCTTAAGCCAGGTATCACATGTTCTATGCCACATAGCAGAGCAGGTCAAAGAAGCAAATAAGAAACAACTATATTTGTCTATTTTTCAATTTATTGACTTGTTTTTTTACAATATACATTTATGTAAAAACATACCATAAAAATTAAACAAGATAAATACATATTCATTATAGTATGCGTTAAAGGTGGGGTAGGTAATTTTGGAGAAACCAGCTCGAGTGCGCTAGAATTAGAAAATGCACAGCCGGAAAAATCTGCCACTTCCTTACAGAGCCCCTCCTCCAACACACACGAACGAGCACATGACCAATGAGGGCACGAGATAAGTTTGTGCACAGATGGAAGGCTGACAGGCAGGTAGGCCATCCAGTTATTTTGGTTGTGCTTTTAACAGTACTACGGCTTCCACACACTTATCTCGTGCCCTCATTGGTCATGTGCGCGTTCGTGTGTGT